GTCCTGCCATTTGTTACCTTGGAGAAGAGTTTCAAAATATTCCAAAATACTTGGGCAGTGTTTTCAACACTGAGTTCATCTGATCTTGTAAACCCCCATTAGGAAATAGCTTTTCTTATTACTTYAGGGGATCTTTCAGCAAATACAAGCAGAGCCAGGATTCCAACAGTTTCTTATGCCTGTCATGAGTATATTAATAATTTTCAAGCACTCCAACCCTCGCTGAGCAACTGCTTTCTCCTCTCAGAACCTGAGCTGCTGCAGAGRTGGGACATTCCCTGCAAGGCTGGGCTGGCTCATCTGCTTCACCCAGGATGAAAGATCTGAAAACATGACAGCTCGGAGGGCTTGAATGGGAATCATTATGTAACCTAAGTGCTGTTATTATTCCGAGCATATCATGTGTTTATATCAAATCTAAGTGCCAGATTTTTATCCAAATAATTTCAATAATTGCAATTCCCATCCCACAATTTACATTGTCTGCCAGGAACACGAAGCACAAGAGGCATATGCACGTCCTAGAAATAGMCTGTTTTTCATAAACAGGCAGAAATGATGGGAACGAACRTCTCATCAGGAAAAATGTAGGAAMACAATGCAGGAACTTCCAACCTGACTGCTATTATGAGCAGCCAAGCCTCAACAGAGCTCGGGGCTCATTTGCAGCTCTTCCCCCACGTGGATCATGGATTAGAGGGGGAAAAGCAGCAAGAGGGCAGAGAGCCCAGCTGAGCAGAGAGCCCTTCCCGATGCACAGCCCCTCTGCCTGGCAGTGGGAGCACAGACAGCTCCTCTCTGCCCTCCTTGCATCCCTAATCCCCRAATCCGTGCAGTTCCTGCACTTCTAATTTACGAGCGTTCGGTGGGGGACCCTTCTGACTTGGGAACAGATTGGCTCGGTCTAATGCTTGGAGATTATTAAAGGCAGAGCTCTACTCCACTATCAAGTCTACAGATCTTTTATTTAGAAGATATGGTGCTCTAAATGCACAAAGAGCTCCCTGTCACCTTCACATTAAAGCCCCTAGTGCCTGGTAAATGGAATTATATAGCTGTCATCTCCTTTCCCCAAAGTTTTAAGAGTACAATGGGCTCATTTTTTCCCACTCCATCCCAGCTTCAGAACTAAGAGACCTACTTTGTATTGATTTAGAGTCTCGGAAATAAATAAACCTGCTTCTCCAATGTGATTCACAAGAAATTCATGATACACTATTGCATGATATATTTCAAGCTGCGGCCCCGGCTCTTTTTTCCCTTTGGTGAGTGATGGGGGAGGTGGGAGCTGGGGGGAGGTGGGGAGCTGACAGCCTGATGGTTATTGGGGATGGCTCCTGACTGCAAATCCACAGGCTGGTCCTGTTTGGTGAGAGCAGAGGGGGAAGGGGAAAAGCAAATTGTGTTTCAGCTGGCAGGGAAAAGGGCAAGGGGCATCCAGGGGCACAGAAACTGCAGGTCCTGAGATCCCAACACTCCTCACTGACACAGGGTGAGCAGGGCTGCTCACACTCACTACAGATCCTATTCTCTGTCTGAAGCATCACCCATCATTGGTGGGAAGCTTTTTCCACCTTGAGGAGGATTTTGGAAAATTTCTGGGTCGCAACAGAAAAATGGAATTTTGCGATCTTGAGACCTGGACTACAAACTTGAGACCAGACAGGCTCCAAACGGCTGCCTCTGACCTCTAAAATATTCACTGTAGATATTAAAAATAAAAATTAGTTTGGGAAGAAAAGGCAGCTGGGAAATAAAAACCGAACAACTTTTCATTTGACCCAAAAAGCTCCAACGCAGAAGCTCATCCAAACTGATACTTTTTCCTGAAGAGTTTCAGTTTCAGGGAAGTGGCATTTCCAAATGAAAAATGTCTTGTCAGAACCCCGGTGCCCCTCTCTCCTCTCCTGGTGTAGGGAGCCGGCGTGTTTTGCTCAAGGTCACTCCCTCAGTCAGTGGTAAATCAAAAGGACTCAATCCACTTTGCAAACTAAAATTACAGCCCCTATTCTACATGGTGCCAACACCCATAAATCCCACCTGTCCCAGCCAGGGGTTCCCTAATCTAGGTATGAACCCCATAAACAATATTAATGGTTGTCTCCAACTCGAAGATCTCGGTCATTTCCTTTGTCACCCCAGAGAACMTGGTTACTCAGAGCCTCCCTGGGCTGCAGAGCAGGGACCTCTTTCACCAGGACAGTGAAATTCTGCTCATTCTTCAGCGTGAGTTTAGGTTTAATCATGAGAAATGCTGCAATTCTCCAATGCTGTTCCTACAGTTCCCAGCGTGTGTCCAGAATCACAGGGAATTTCTCCAGAAAAGACCCCAGGCAGGTCACCCCGAGGTCCTCCTGGGGACACTCCAAGAGGGATGGTCAGGATCAATAATTGTGGGATTTGTTTGAAAAGTTCAGCTCCTGAGAAACACTGGAAGCAGAGTTAATGCTGCAGTAAGAACACACCTTGCAGGACCCCCAGAAGTGGGATTCATTCCTGGGGAAGGGATTTGGACAGGCAGGATGTGGGCCACGATGCTGAACTCCTCTTCAGCAGGAATAAACACGCACAGAGCCCCCACCCACACAGATAAACCCAGCGAGATCCGTATTAAAAATGATAGAAGGAGGGAGAATAAAAAAAAGTCAACAGAAATCTATTAGACTTTCTTCCCTAAGCAAACACCAAGGGACTGATAATGCCATGCCTGGAACGTAAATTGTCTCTAATGGG